ACACCAGGCAGGCTTGTTTATGGAGCTGCTGGGCAGGCGCAACGGGACAGCCACCTGGCGGAAAGGACCAGCCCTACGACTGACGACGGAACTAGTCGGGGACGCCTCAGACAGGGCCTTCGCAGCCTTCTTACCTGGAGAAGAACTGGGCGCCAACAGCCGCATGCTTGTGCCCTTCAAAGCTCAGGAAACCCAGCGGCTGCAGCGGAATGACTTTAGCAGCACAGAAAGAGAACTGCGGGCGCTGCTGTACAGCTTGCACTGGTTGCGAGAGCAGGCACCGAACCTGTTGTACGGCCGGACAGTGCAATACCAGACGGACAGCCAACCGGCGGAATTCTGCATGGTTGGGATGAAAGGCAACGCCGCTTGCCTGCCCATAGTGGCGGAGATCCATCGCCTCTGCGCGGATACGGACACAGACATTTCAGTGGTGTGGTACCCACGCAGCCGGGAACAGCAGCAGCAGGCAGACGCGCTCAGCAAATACGAAGATGGATCACAGTGGCGAAGTATAAGCACTGGATGGGGCTGCCCTTTTCGGGAGCCGCAGCCGTCATGTGGCCAACACATGCTAAGGTTTTCATTCCTCGTTTAGCATATAGTAAGGTAATGCAGTTTCGTTTATGTTGCTGGGCTTTGGAGCCAAACAGAGCATGAAGGGGCAACTACCACGTCCCCAGGGGGCAGCGGTTTTGCCACTGTTGTGGTACTAATAGCCGAATTGAGGATGTGAACCCCTGTTATTGGAATGCCCAGCCTATAATGATATTCGTGCTGAAGAAGGATTCGATCATCAACAGAGCATGTTGGAGGCCATGCAATGGGAACCCGCACGTCTGGCGAGGAAATTGGAACGTATGTGGGCTCACCGAAACTCAATTACCCCCTTTAGACGCTAGTCTGGGCTGATGTGCGGTGTTTTCCTTTCCTCCGTGGCTTTTAGGCGTTGTAGTATTACCCTTGGGCCCTCGGCTCGTATGGGTAATCTTACAGGTATGGGGTCACGCACCCCCAACCATGTAACACACACACACACACATAACACGTCTTCGTCGCAATTAAGCCCGTGAAATTTTACGGGTGCTGTGCATTACGGCTTGGGGGATTACGGGTCAAGACCTTGTGATTACGGGTAATGTAACCTGTGGATGACTTCCAGCACGGGCAACCAACAAAATGTCACCTGTGTT